CATTATCTGGGCTGTGGAGGCAGATTTATGTTTAAATTTCAGTCCTGCCATTACACACTCCTGATCCTGGGTAATTTACCTAAACTCATAGAGCCTCAGTTTACTTATTTGTAAAATGGAAATTATAATAGTACCCATCACAAAGGGTGCTATTATTATATCATGTGTTTAACAATGGGCCTGGCATGTCACTCAATAGTTATTTTTATTTTTATCATTGAATAACACTGCCTGGTACTCTTAGATGTTCAATTAACATTTATTAGAAAAAAAAAGAAATGAAGAATCCAGGTTATGGCTGTAGTCTGATGATTATTCCAGTCTTATAGATGAATTCTAACCCTGGTCAAAATGTGAAGGGAGAGGTGGTTGGTTGCCGTCTTGGCAGACTTTTTAAATTAATTGCTCTTCCCTGGAGGAAACAGCACAGAGGTGAGTTGCCCACATGACTAATACTCATGTCTTTATGTTGTGAGAATTAAAGGAGTTGAGGAGTGGGACCGAGAATTTCTTGGCAGAGCGAACCACAAAGGCAACATCTCTCCCTGACCTCTTCTGTAGCTAGATGTGAGCTTCTACAGAAAGGTCAGGAGAAGGCAGGGAGAGCCCCAGGGACCAAAGTCTAAGGCTCTGCTCTGAAAAAAGGCTTGAAGAATTGGCTTCAGGAAGTTTCTTATCCAAGGGACTTTAATCAACTGCTGATCATTTGGTAATTGGATTTGCTTTTCTAACTTTAAAAATGGTGATCGTCTTCTTAGCTTAGATCTTAGCTGTACCAAGGCTATCAGACCGATTTCTACATAAATATTTAAAATACATAGATTTCTGTGAGTTCTATAGAAACAGAAATGTGCTAGAGCTACTGAAATCTTCCCCATTTCTCCAAAACCAGGTTTCTTTTAAATAAGACATGCAAGTGTCTACTATCTGGGATTCGTATAAGTTGAGCAATCAGGCCAGGAGTAGAAGTCCTAGACAAACAGAATGTGGTTAGCATTGATATATAAAAGAAGCACAATTTTCTTCTTTTTGATTTTGCTTCAGCATCTTCATTTCTGGAAACAGAAATCAAACTTTTTGATTTTTTTTTGCAGTAAATTTATATAACCATGACTCTGGACTAAAGAAAATCCCAGTGAATTTTAAGTATTATTGACTCGGCAAAGAATCAACTCCTAAGACAGTAGTTTATAATCTGCAGTATTGAGTTGGGGTAGAATAACTTTTTTCCAGACCAATTTGTAAAAACAACCTGTGAGTTATTTATTTGTTTGTATTTTTCTCTGTTATTTATCCTACAAGCCATAATCAACAATGAGTTTGATAGAAAGTTTGAATTTCAAGTGCAACACTTGTGGGAAATATTATGACACACTTAAAAATTTTTTCTTAGATGATGGAGTCATTTTTCTCTTTCCCCTTTCTTTCTCTCTTTCCCCTCCTCTCCTTTTCTTCTTTCTTTTCACATCCCCTTTCTCACTCTTAACAATTGCTTTATAATATCTAATACTGGCTATCATTGTGGATATAAAAATAAATAAATCATAAAAGTAGTGAAGCACAACATTCTGCAAAGCATTGATTTGAATAATGAACTGGGTTTAAATTAAGTTTCCTGTTTCCTGGAGAACTCTACCCTTGGTCATGGAGTCAAATTTGGAAAGAGTAAATTTCTCATGCATTGAAATATGTCTTTAGCAAATGAGTTAATAAAATGTATAGACAATAAATCCCACAAAACAAACACACTAAATAATTCAATCTTTATGTTTAATATTTTTTAATAGCTTGCTTAATTTTTTAAAATCTGACAGCCTTTTTGACACTTATTCTTGTTTCCCATATCCTCTTTTTCTCTTCACTTGGTTAGAGTCATTTTTCAGAATCTTTGCCTTAAGAGGAAGTTTTGAAACTTTTCTTAATGACACTTGCATGAGAACAGTAAAATCACGTAACAACAACAATAGAGTTAAGTTTAAAATGATTTAATTTTCACGGAGTCCTAAATGTGGAATATTTATCCCTCCTTTTAATAGGTGAAAAACTGACACACAAAGAGATAAGTTAATGTTATGGTTAATAAGGGGTAGATCCCAGACTCCCAAAGGAAGTCTTTGGATTTTAAGTCAGTTTCTCTTTCTTTGTTCTTTAATGCATTTCTACTTTTCCATTTCTCTTTTATATTCTCTTCCACAGTTTATTCTCTTTTGCCTCCTTTTTCCTTCTTTTTCTCTCACTAAATGTGTGACGAGTGACTGTTATTATTATTATTATTGTTGTTATTTTAGCCAGCACTGAAGATACACAAATGAATAAGATGAGATGAGTGTGGGACAAGGTGTTGAGTGCTGTAATGGACCGTCACCACAATCTCTGAGATTGGAAGGAGGTAGCAATGCCATTTTTTGGTCTTGAGGAAGCACAGATGCTTCCAGATGGGCAAAGCAGGGGAGAAGGTGGCTCATGTGAGGATATTTATGTGTCTTTGAGGCTTTTCATATGACTTAGATTAATAGAACCAACTGCATTTTTCAATGGTAAGTATATCCAGCAATTTTGGAGTAAAATACATGAATCTTTGGGTATTTGTGAATGTGCCACATATGTGTCCATCATTGACTGGCTCTTAAAATTTGAGGCATAGTTTTTGATCTTCTTTTCCTTAAGTAAGTCCCTTTAACATCTTATATAATAAGGGCTTGGTGATGATGAACTCCTTTAACTTGACCTTATCTGGGAAGCATTTTATCTGCCCTTACATTCTAAATGATCAGTTTGTTGGAACTGTAATAACATAATTAATAAAATATATTTTAAAAATTTGAGGAATAGTATTTTTCTGTTCTTACTTTAAAAGTTATATATTTTGTTATAGAAAAATTAAAAACACACTAGAAATGATAAAGAACAAAATGAATAGCACCTATATTGTTATCTGTATAATAGATGTGGATATAGACATAAAAATAATAAATTAATCATGAAACTGGTAGGTCTCAACATTCCTACTTTGTCGAACACCTCAGAGAGAGTTTGTCCATATTTTGTGAGTTTGTCCACTCACATGACCAGCTTTTTCAGGAATTGAAATGATGCACTCAAAACATAAACTGTATGCATGAAATTGTTCTCCATCCCTCTGGTAACCTGAAGTTTAACAATGCTGTGTGAAGACAGGCCAGCATAACTGACTAGGAATCATGAGGTTGTATAGGCCATTTCACTTTCATTGCTGTGAAACACAAACTGGAAAATATTAATCTAAAAAATTCATGTACAATTTTCTCTTTCATCAAGATGTTGATTTCCCATTTGTTTGTTAATAGGACAAATTCTTCTGGCAATGAGTATTTTGGGTCTCTGTTCACAATTAAGGTAACCAGAGGGGAGGGAGGAGGGGATAATGACAGAAAGAAGGGGAAGGTTGTCAAGGAACATGTATAAAGGACCCATGGACAAAGACAATGGAATGTGGAAGGTGGGGGTGGGTAAGGAAGTGGAAATTAATGGGGGGGAAATGGAGACAAGTGTAATTGAACAACAATTAAAAAAAGATCCAGAATTCTTTATGTTACAGGACATTCATATTCATTTTGAAATTCCTGACAATTTTAAAGGTAATATTTTTATGAAAGACAGATGAATCAGATTTCCTTTATGCACAGCCAGAGTCAGTCACGTGGGAAGTCTGATGTCCAGTGATGCTGCGTGTGTTACCTGCTCTCTGTGTCTGCAGAGATGGCATCAGTGCACAGAGGACAGGGAGAGGCTCCATAGCCCAGAGCATGAATTGAATAGCTCTCTCATTAAAAAGGTAACTCAGGAAGTTACCTTTTAAAAGTCTTTTAAAAGTTCTCCTATATAATTCTAATACTCAGCCATGTCCTTTTGATTACTAAAATGTGTGGGGCTTAATTCAATCCTGTAGTAGTCTTATGGGTATTTTAGTATGATAAACTTACCATTTTAACATCCTTTTTTTTTAATTTTAATTTTTCAATTACAGTTTACATTCAGTATTATTCTGTATTAGTTTTAGATGTACAGCAAAGTGGTTAGAAAATCATGCACTTCAGTATTCTTGGAAACTAATTTTAAGTATAAATACATGGGGATATTGTAATAGACAGATATTTCTAAGTCTCACAACAGATTGAATTTATATGTTTGCTAAGCATTGTTTGTTAATCTATTAAAAATGAGAGGAGACTGTAGTAACATCTATAGAATTTGATTGACTTTCAAAAATTCAAGGTAATACTGCAATAAGAAAGATCTTCAATTTGTATTTTTCTGTTCGCAGATGAGTTTCAGCATCTTATACATTTTCTTTGCCACTTCTATTAATTCTTCCTTTGTTTGCCTGTTTATGTGACTTACCCAATTTGCTATTGGTTTGTTCTTCTTTCATTTGTTAATTAGTTAGTGCTTTTCGTATATTTTAGATATTAACTCTGTATGTTGTCTAAAATATCAATGTTTCCCAAGCTACTTTTGTATTGACTTTATGGTATCTATTCCTGAATCTTTACAAAATTTGATATTGTCTACTTGGGATTCCAATGATAAAAATATTCTCCCACCTCTTGAGTGTAGAAAGTCATCTCTTTTATTACTAGAAAGTAAACATAAAGTAAATCTTGCTTTAGTTTTTCATTAAATCTGTAATCAGTTTCTATTTTTCTATAAAGTATAAACTATATGTATACTTTCATTAGTTTTCAGATGGAAACCCACTTATTTTATAATGGCTTCTTTTCCCACACACATTCCTAATACTTGCCTCTCCACTAGTCCATAAGATTGTTGAGGTTAGGGACCATGTTTTAATCAACTTTAAATTCTGATAATCTCAGAAATTACTGAAACATAATAAGTCATAATGCCTTTTTGTTGAATAAATAGACAAATTATGTTAAGATTTCAGAAAGTCATGAAGAATAATTATATTTACAGGTAATTTTGTCCTGAACTTTGCAATACGACATACAGAAAGACCTATGGAATCAAGGAACAATGTGACTGAATTTGTCTTCTTGGGGCTCACTCAGAGCCTTCAGGGTCAGAAAATATTGTTTGTTGTGTTTTTGTTCATCTACATTGTGACAATGATGGGCAACCTACTCATTGTTGTGACTGTCATGGTCAGCTCAACCCTGGGTGCCCCAATGTACTTCTTTCTTGGCTACTTGTCATTTATAGATGCTATTTACTCTACAATAGTTACCCCAAATATGATTGTAGACTTCCTCCATGAGAAGAAAACCATTTCCTTCAAAGCTTGCCTGAGCCAGCTTTTCCTGGAGCACTTATTTGGTGGTGCTGAGATTTTAGTCTTGGTGGTCATGGCCTATGATCGCTATGTGGCCATCTGCAAACCCTTGCATTATTTGACCACCATGAATCAACGACTATGTGTTCTGCTGCTGCTGTTGGCCTGGCTTGGAGGTTTCTTACATGCTATAGTCCAACTTCTCTTTGTTTACAACCTTCCCTTCTGTGGTCCCAATGTCATTGACCACTTCATGTGTGACATGTTCCCCTTATTAAAACTTGCCTGCACTGACACTTACTTTCTTGGCCTCACTATGGTTGCCAATGATGGGGGCATCTGTGTGGTCATCTTTGTGCTGTTACTCATCTCCTATGGGGCCATTCTGTACTCCCTGAGGAATCGTAATCAGGAAGGGAGGCGCAAAGCCTTATCTACCTGTGGCTCCCACATTACTGTGGTGGTCCTCTTCTTTGTCCCCTGTATTTTTATATATGTGAGACCTTCTTCTACCTTACCCATTGATAAATCCCTGACTGTATTCTACACTATTATCACCCCTATGTTAAACCCCTTAATCTATACTTTGAGAAATTCAGAAATGAAAAGTGCCATGAAAAAACTCTGGACCAGAAAGAGAAAATGAGGAAGCAGATTAATGTGTCACCGATTTTTAGTGAAGAATTGATCCTTCCAGGAAAACCATGTGTGGTTATTTAACTATAGTAAATTATTCCTCAGGTTTAGTAACTTGGACATGATGAAAAACATTTATTAGGTGAATATTTTCCATGGTCAAAAATATTTTTAAGATTTTTATAATTTCTTATTAAAGTATATGTTCAATTTTTATGTATAAAATATCTCTGTTAAGACTATAGATTTATGCTCTATGTGATGAGTTTGTTGGAATTAATACTGTTAAATTCATTTTAGTTAAATGGAAGACTTTTCGATGTTTTCTCTTTTTTTTTCGATGTTTTGTCTTAAATAATGTAATCTTTTTTCAGAATTAATACTGCTCATTACAGATTTAAGAAAATAAGATAAGAAATAAGACATAAGAACTTGGTTCACTTCTCCCCATACAAAGATAGCCCATATTAACATTTGAAATTTGAATATTATTTTTGTATCTACAAAAAATTTTAAATATATATATATTTATATTGCTTAGCATGTGAAAGTTGAAGAAGAATGATGCTTCAGAGTTCTAACATTAATATGGGGCTAAGTATTATACAGTGTCTGGCAGAAGTAACATCTGCCTGAGTGTGGTTGGTAGGATAATAATATGAAAGTAATAATTTATAGTTTTAAGTTGAACATTTCACCTACAATGTCATATGGTGTGCTTGAGTGTGATATTGTTATGTTACAGAATGACATGTTTGTGATTTTGTAAAAAGAAGATTTTGTAATAAAAAAGGAGCATTATTTGTGCTAGGCCCTATAAATAAAAATAATCTGAATGAACAAGGCACTTATGTAGAAACATAACTAAATCTTACATATTTTCCTGATTGAAAAATTTTATTATCTACTCATGTGGATTATATTTTCATGAAGAGGATCCATTAATTTTTTCCAGATAATTTAGAATATTTGATAACTCCCCTGCATTTTTCAATATTTAATCTCCTTTTTGCTTATAGTATTTCATAGCCTTCTATAGGGACCCAGATTCTTCCTTATATACAATATATAATTAGAATAATTCTTAATCCATGAGCTTCAAATATGCAATACAGAACTTGATCATATTATCTTGGGTGATACCATTATTAGGAAAGATGCTGACAATATGTGTTATTCCTACCCTTTTAGTTATGGAATATAGATTATTAGGTAATAAAGAGACCAGAATATATTTTTTTATATGACAGAGACCTCAATCATAACATCCTCTGTATGAACCAGGCTGAAAACAAAATATTGTTTGTCTCTGAGAGAATAGGAAATAAATAGTCAAAGAACCTCATGATTCTGCCTGAGTATTTAGTCTAGATTTATATAAGGAGCTAAGATGAGGAGGCAGTGGGTCCTTTTCTAGGGTAAATCACACTGTATTTAAGGCTCATGTCTTGAATTATACCCCTGTTTTTATAACATGGAGGTTTCTTTTTTAAAAATTTTATTTAGTTATTTTTCCTTTTTAAAAATTTTATTTAGTTATTTTTCTTTTTTTAAATTTTTTTCAAGTTCATTTTTTGTCTATTTCTCCCATCCCAGCCCACCCCACCCCGTGCTCCCCACCTCCCTCCCATTTCCACCCCCCTTTGTTCTCGTCCCTGTTTCCTTCCTATTTCTTCCTCCAAATCCCTCCCCTTTTTCCCCTTAAATTCCCTTCCCTCTCCCCTCTGGTCACTGTCCCCTTGTTCTCTATTTCAGTGTCTTAGTTTTTTTTTTTCTGCTTGCTTGTTTGTTTTGTTATTTAGCTTCCTGTTAAAGGTGAGATCATATGGTATTTGTCTTTCAGCACCTGGCCTATTTCACTCAGCATAATGCTTTCCAGTTCCATCCATGTTGTTGCAAAAGGTAGTAGCTCCTTCTTTCTCTCTGCTGCATAGAATTCCATTGTGTATATGTACCACAATTTTTTGATCCATTCATTTACTGATTGGCACCTAGGTTGCTTCCATTTCTTGGCTATTGTAAATTGTGCTGCTATGAATATTATGGTGCATAGGTTCTTTGATATTGATGTTTTAGGATTTTTAGGATATAATCCTAGCAGTGGAGTTGCTAGGAGAAAAGGCAGGTCGATTTTTATTTTTCTGAGAAAATTCCATACTGTTTTTCATAATGGTTGTACCAGTCTGCAATCCCATCAACAGTGACCTAAGGACCCCTTTTTCCATGGGAAAAATTTGAAAATGTTCCATGTGCATTTGAAAAGAAAGTGTATTTAGCTTCTTTGGGATGAAGGGCTCTCTATATATCAGTTAAGTCCATTTCGTCTAGAGTGTTGTTTAATGCCACAATATCTTTGTTGATATTTTGTTTGGAAGATATGTTCATTTTTGATAGTGGGCTGTTAAAATCCCCTACTATAATTGTGCTGCTGTCAATATCTTTCTTGAAGTCCTCTAAGATTTTCTTTATATATTTGGGTTCTCCTATGTTGGGTACATATATATTTATGATGTCTATATGTTCTTGGTGGATTCTTCCCTTGAGTATTATGAAGTGAGCTTCTGAGTCTCTCTTCATGACCCTTTTTTTGAAGTGTATTTTGTCTGATATGAGAATTGCTACCCCAGCTTTTGTTGCTCGTTCATTTGCTTGGAAAATTTGTTTCCATCCTTTCGCTTTTAGTATTTGATGGTATTTTGTCCTGAGGTGGGTCTGTTGTAGGTAGCATATGCGAGGATTATGCTTTCTTATCCATGCAGCTATTCTGTTTCTTTTGATTGGAGCATTTAATCCATTTACATTTAAGATTATTATTGATAGGTAGTTATTCATTTCCATTTTTGTACCTGTGTTCCTCTCTGTCTCACTTTTCTTTTCGTTCCTTAAAGCAGTTCTTTTATTATTTCTTGTAGGACTGATTTGGTGGAGGCATATTTTTTTTAGACTTCTTTTGTCTTAGAAGCTCTTTAATTGGCCTTCTATCTTGATTGAGAGCCTTGCTGGGTAAAGTACTTTTGGTTGTAGGCCTCTGGTTCTCATTACTTGGAATATTTCTTGCCATTTTCTTCTTGCTTGGAGTATTTCCATTGAGAAGTCAGTAGCTATGCTTATTTGGGCTCCCTTGTATGTTACTTCTTTTTTATCTTTTGCTGCCTTTAAGATTCTCTCTTTGTCTTGGAGTTTTGCCATTTTAATGATTGCATGTCTTGAAATGGGCCTCTTTGGTTTCCTCTTGATTGGGACTCTGTGTGATTCCTCGATTTGTGTGACTTTTCCTCTCATCAAATTAGGGAAATTTTCTCTCATTACTCTTTCACATATGTTTTGTATCCCTTGTTCTTCTTCTTCTCCTTCTGGTATTCCTATTCTTCAGATATTGTTATGTTTCATATTATCTTGCATTTCTCTTAATCTCTCTTCATTCTTTCTAAGCCTCTTTTTATTTTCTTGCTCTTTCTGTGAGATGCTTTTTACTTTGTCTTCTGACTCGCTAATCTGAACTACCGCCTCATCAGTTCTACTTTTGAAACTTTCTACTGTGTTCTTGAATTTGGAAATTGTATTCTACATTTCCTCTTTCCCTTGCTGATAGTTTCTATTTCCTTTTTCATTTTGATATAGTTTGCGGTGAGATCATTGTAGCTCCCCTGTAGTTTCAGGTAGCTCATTGTGAGCTCTTTGAACTTCGTGATAACCAGTGCTTTGAATTCACTATATGATAGTTGATTAGCCTCTATTTCATCTAACATTCTTTCTGAAGTTTCTGCTTTTTCTTTCATTTGGGAATTGTTTCTTTGTCTTCCCATTGTTTGTGAGACTCTTCTTGTTAGCCTCAGCTTCTAATATTCATCTGTTCTGTCTCCCTGGGTTTATGGTGTGAACTTCTGTCATATAATACCTGTGAATTTCAGTGGTGCAGACTCCTTCAGGTATCTTGATGTTCTCCATTGCCACGTAGTCCTTTTATCCTGTATGTGTAATCAGTTGGAGGGGGAGGCAAAATGGTTTATGATAGCATAAGAGTATTTTGTGATATTTCCAGTCACAGCCAGTAGAGAGGAGATAGGCAATCTTTAGACTATATATAGTGTTAAGCGTAATCTTCAACCCAACTTGCCACTTTTAAGAGAGCATGGACAAAAGATAAGCCTCTTGTTGGGGAGGGAAGTCTTGTTAGTTGGAACTAGAAAGCAATGAAGCTGTAGGCGGTGCGATTTTGAGGTAAGGTGAGTGTAAGAAACAGTAAATTGGTGTAGTGTGTGAGGAAATAGAGTTAATCACTACAGTAATAGAATTCAGGGACCTGTTCAATGGGTAAGATTTGGGAGATGGGTTGTGAAGTATTTACAGTTGTATAGAACAGCTATTATTTATGCTAATATTAGAGTAGCAATCATATAGCAAACTCTATGTGATCTGTGTCGGGGGTATAGAGCTTTGGGTAGTGTGCTAAAGGAAAACAAATGGTGTGGGGTAACATAAAAAGCCAGAGAGGCTGGGTCTGCCCATAAATGTGGAAGAATTATTTTTTTCTGATAGAAATACCTGAGAGATTTCTGGAAACTCAACTTTGTGCCTAAGCTGGAGTCTATCTTCAAGTGATCTCTGATTCTTCAGATGTTTCCTTGTATATTTTCCTCAGCATAGATATCTCTCACTGCTTGTAGAAACATGTGTAAAGTCCCAATTTTCTGGGATGAAGTTGGGGAGAGGAAGAGACATACTTTTAATTAGGAAAAAGGGATCTTTAGGGATGTGCTGCTTGAGTGACTGAAAGGCTAAAGAGTTCTATTTCCTCAGAGAACGCCCAGACACTGGCTATTTGAAGAAAATAAATCCCAGCAGTTGTCTTGTTAGCTACAGAGATTAATTGTCAGAGACACAAATGCTGTCCTAAGTCACCATAGGAAAGTACTTTTTGTTTACCTTACCACAATCGGCTGAGGAGAAGTACATTGAAGTAACTACTTTTAGTGTTTTAAAATTTCTGGGGTTTTTGTATTGGCTCAT